TTGTTCGAATTTGTGTTCAAAGTTTGTAAATAAACTAGTAGAAAAGAAAAAAAATAATTGCGGTTACAGTTTAACAAATGCTAAAATCTTGGACTAATTTCCCTTTGAACATTTCTCCCTTACTTTGCTTTCTTTCACGTTTCTTCATATTTTACCTTTGCTCCTTCAGTTGGCATATGTTTTAAACAAGTTTGGTATTTCTTTGATGAGGACATTGACTAGATATGAGGATACCAGAGTTGATGTTAATGATTATTGAAAGTAGGAAGCCTATGACATCATTCCTTGTATCCGAAGTCTCTTAGGTTTTGCATGGATAGCTCCCATTCTTTGCTCCATCAGCTTTGGAAGGTGCTGGAAGTTTCTTCATCATTGCAGAAATATGAACAGAAAGTAAGGGTCCTGGTTTGTGTGGACATTGTCAATCAAACTTTGAAGCTCCTCGACTCTGCCTGTGTCTGTGGGAATACTTCAATTTGACTTCGGATTACTCCACTTAGAGCTCTTATTATACTGGGTACTAATGAAAATGTGCACTTCCTTAGCACGCTCTTTGCTGATGAAATATTTTGAACTCTAAATTCATCTGGCACTGACGGAGAGCATATGCCATCTCAGTTTGTGTGGAGGGCTCAGCCAAGGGTTCTTCCTGGACTAGGAAATTAGTAGGAGCCACAGATGTACGCAGTCTGTGAGTCTCCATAATGGTGTGGAGGATATTTAATAGTGTCTGTTGTTGCAGGGAGAAGGATGTGTGGTGGTGTAGACTTCAACATGCTTCAGAAGGATTATCTTTCCAGGAAGAACTTCACCACCACCGTCTCCAATAATGGAACCTCTTCATAGTGTAACATAGAGCTTTTCATCAGAATCACAATATATTTCTATAAGAGGAAGCTTCTCTAGACTCTTAGCACAATGCATTGCTTCTCTTTGGTTGTTTCTCTGGTTTTATGGAATTCTAGGTTCTTCTGTGTTTGATATGAATCTGGTTTCTCAAACTGGAAAGGACCCAGGTACAACTAACTACCCTAAACCAGCAGAATCAGGCAGCTCTCGTATGTGTTTACTCAAAATTTAAGTTAAACTTAACATGATACTTAGTCCAAGTCGTTAGCTTATGCTGTCAACACTTTGACATCCTCACGTTTGTGGGAGACACTGGGATTTGTTGAAATGGGGAGATAAAAAGCATATTCTGAAAGGAGAGGACAGGGTTTGGATCTGTTGTTTATAGGGGTGCTAGGAGTTGTACTTGCCTTGATGGCATAAAAGAACTGCAACAACAAAGGGAAATTAAGTCACTGAGCAAATTTATGCTTACTGAATTTCTTTGCATTCTTTTATTTCATGTTCTTTATATGAGAATGGCTATCACTGTAGTGCAAATACTTTTCCACTTTCTCTCCTTCCTTTCCCCTCATTCCCAAGTAACCTTCATCACTTAACTGTTCCCTCTTCCTATGGCACAAATTCCATCTTGCCAGGCTCCTCCTGCTCAGGAACCAGCCTTGCTCCCCCACTGTTTTCCAAGTGAAATTGAAATCCCTATTTTGATATTTAGGACCTCAAGTTTGTCCTCTTAACTATGACTCTTCATGGACTTTTGACTTATTTACATTGGTCTCTGTGTTTCCTTCTTCGTAGACTAAGTATATTGCCTTTTAGGGAGGAAAAAAAAATGTGGTTGGCATAACTTCCTGGTCAGGTTATCAAGAGTCCCTTATCCTGTGATCTGCACCCTTACACTTAATTGTCCTTGCTTTAACTTTGTCTTCTGGATGGAGAAGTGAGGACCAAGCCGAAGTCACAGGATTGTTGGGCAAGGGAGTGCTGGTCATTTATCCCCACCCTCCTGATGTAGCAGGCCACTTAGGGAAAGGAATGCCTGTTAGCTGTAAAAAAGGGAGAAGCAGCCAGGAAGGTGTAGCAGCGTGAGGTCAGGAAATGAGAAAGATGGAAATGGGAATGGATGGGAAAAGAGCAGTCGGCTCCCATTGGTTGGGAATCTCTTTGTGAAGGAACCCAGCCAGTATTTAACCTGTTTTGAAAAAGCTTAGACTTCCAGCATTTTTAATTAGTGGATTGCTCCCTTTTGAAATTGCCCAGTTGGGAATACTCACGTTTTGATGTGTTTTAGCTGCCTGCTAATTAACAGGCTGCCTAGTTGACCATCGTTTCCCCCTTTATCCTGTGGACAGAGGATGTACAGGAAGGTTTCTTGAAAGATTCCAGCTAAAGTGTGAGTTTTTTTAAAAAAAAAAAATCCATAGAACACTGTCCTTAGTAAGAGTTCTTGCTAAATTAGAAATACAATTCCAGTACTTTTTCCACCACTCCAATTTGGTTCTTCTCTTTGCTCTTCAAAACAGTTCCCCGCCCTTACGGCAGGGGCTTCTGACCCTGGCACCATTCCAGCATCTGGAGCTGAATGAACCCCTGTGAGAAGTGTACCTGTGCATCCTGGGATATTCAGCATGGCTGCCCTCCACTCCCTTGATGCTATTACCAACAAAACAAGCACACCAAAAACATTCCAGAAAAACCAAACCAGTTGCCATTGAATTGTCTCTGCCTCATGGTGACCCCATGTGCTCCAATCCCCAGAATATCCCCAGACCTTGCACCGTGTCTGGGGAGGAGCAGAATCCTTCCTGGTTGAGCACCTGCCGTCTTTCTTCCTGGGCTCTGCTTACTATTCTTATTTTACATCTTTCAAAATTGCAAATGTCAAATAGGTCCAAACACTGTTAAGTCTTGGGATGACTACAGCAATGAAATCTGGGTTTTTTCCTCCCGACTTTTTCCACATTTAATGAGAAGAAACCTCTTCCAGTTAATCCGAGTTCACTGGCTTTGCGTACAAAGAAAACCAAGATAGTGGCAGATTTGTGGGAACTCGGAGTAGTTTAGAGAGTTTGCTGTTTATACTTGTCTTAGTGTCAGTTGTTTGGCTCACTGGTGGCCTATGAGTAAAGAGTTGTGCTGCCCACCCAAAGACACACGGTTCAAATCCACCAGCTGCTCCAGGGGAGAACGAATGTGAAGTCTCCTCCCATGTGGTTAACAGTCCCTGAAAACCTGCTAGGTCAGGTTGGAGTTGGTGCTGACTTGATGATACGTAACATCATGATACTTTAAAAAAATTAAAATACTTATTTTTGGTTAAGAATAGTCTCATGTAGGCTACACATTCCGTTTGTGTGAACATCCCTCAGGATGGAAAGTGCCTTCTTGGTGTCTGAGTCTAGGGAATTTAAAATAGACTAGGATGCTGGAGTGTTTAACAGCCGACTTTCGAAAAGCCTTGTATCCTCTCTCCAGCCTCGATGTGCTCTCCAGAACATTCTTGACATGACTTAAAGCTCACAGTGTACCGATTTTAGATGTCCCCAGGGCCATCTGTTTGCAGTTGGGTTATCTTCTGAAGCAGCAATTAAAAAGGACCAAAATAATGTTTGTATAAAATAAATTAAAATTTCAGTTGAACGGTAACAGTTAGTTGCTTTTCTGTTGTTGCTGTCCTGTGTCTCAGATACTCTCAAACACGATGTACTCCACTGTGCCCCAAAATCAATCAATTAATTATACTCCGTTGATTACTTCTGTTGATCATAAAATAGCAGTAATAAAGGAATGACAGTAGTGCATTACAAGAATAAATAATATCACGGAAATGTTAGGAAACACAATAAACGGGATTATGTCTCCTGAACCAAAGCTTCACACCTCCTCCTCCACTTCTGTCAGAAGAGGGTTGTGATGGCCGTCTGTTAACAACCATTGTCAAAATAATACAACTGCGAAACTTTTGAGACTTACAAAAGGGGCTTTCATCAAAAATCTCAGCGCCATCCCTAAATATAGAGGGACTGATCTTTGCAACACTTTTATGGTTTAAGCAATTAAAATGGCCATTGAGCTGTTACATTCTCCATCCTGAGTGTTTGCCACTTGAAGTGCTCCTGGAGCTGCCAGTAATGGGGTTAGTGCTGGAGCGGGGCTGGCACGGAGTTGAGAGTCCTGATTCTCATGTGAGTCTCCTCACCTGCATTTAGCAAGGAGAACATGACCCTGGAGTCTAAGAACTGCTTTCCAGCCCTCAAAAGGACCATGTAATATGGCTTGGTGTTCTGTTTGGTTTCTTTCTTTCTTTTTTTTTTAAGGTAATAAAAATTGTAAAGATACATAAGCATGTATGTCATATGCACATGAAAGGCACCATACTTGGTGAAGTAGAGGTCAGCGTTTGACACAGCTGCTGCGGCAGTGAGTTTGAGTTGAACAGAAATTGTGATGCAGGATTAGGAAAAGGTTCTTCTGTTGTACATAGTGTTAATCCGAGTGACTCGACTCAGTGCGCGTCTAACACAACAAGCATGTGTGCCTGTGTATGTGTAAATGCACACACACATACATGTGTACATGCATGATGATATTGCAGATGATGCAGCCTTTCCAAACTCTTATACCTCTCTTATGTACTGTTGGAAATAAGTTACTGAACACTTTTTGCCTCATCATCTTCTATCACATATCTCTTAGGTGAAATGATAAGTCTTGATTATTGGGGGGAAAGCATCAGGGAGCTATATGATAAGGATAGTGTCATGTTAGTATTTGTATATACCTTCATTTCCCTTTTTTAAAATTAAGATCTGTTAGTATCTATTGAAACTTATTTTGTCTAAATCATTTTCAATAAAACTTCTCAAGTGCATTTTCAGGTCTCTGAAAACTGAGACTGTGAAACACTGAGGGGATGGAGTAATTTTTATGTTCGTACCTCTGGTTCCTGAGGGTCCAGTTCATTTCTGCTGTGAATTTAAATGAGTTAATTTCAGTAGACGGGTCAGAAGCCACTATCATCGGGGTAGCCTTGTGCCTGGTTCTTAATTAAAGGCAACAGGAGATTAATTTGAAACATTAATTTAAAAGTGCATATACAAAAAGAAAGAATTATTGCAAGAAAGCCTAAAGAACTTTTCTCTTGTCCCTAGATGTGGAAGACAGAAGTAGCTCAGGGTCCTGGGGGAATGGAGGACATCCAAGCCCATCCAGGGTAAGTATATCTAATCTTTTCCCTGTAACCAGACAGCCCACATATGTAAATTGACAAACTGAATGTGAGTTACATATACATAAAACCTAGATGTCCAGAAATGTGTGCAGACCAAGTCGAAATGAAAAGCCACTTTTGAAGCTTTCTCATTCTTTTACCTGGTGGTGTTTTTAGTTTTCACGCCCATTCCACTGCTGCAAATTAGGAGAAAAGTAATTCATTAAATATTTGAGAGTACCTTTGTCAGTCATTAGTCCGGTATTAAAGAAAGCTGGTGTGAAAATATTGTGAAAAACCATTATTGTAGAATGAGTATAATGATCCAAGAGGGGTGGGAGAGGTTAGAAGCAGAAGGATGAGGATGTGCAGGGGCAAGAGGGATTCATCATGAGGTTGTACAATTAGGTTGGTTGGTGGGAGGGGGAGGAAATTTGAAAGAATTTGTTCTTGAAAACAATGTATTCAAATTTTGTAAAAAAAACTAGTAGAAAATTTCTTTAAAAAAAGAAAAAAGGGTAAAGAAAACTGGCTTGGTTCCCACCCCTTTCTTTCTTGTAGATGATATGACTTCTTAAATAAAAAAATAATATTGCTATAATGCATTGGTGAAAATAGGCTCTTGAAAAATTTTATAGTATGCAATTTATTCTTAGCATAATAAATACATTTTTTTCCCACCTTTGGACACCAGTTGATTTTATTTCTTAGGTCACAAGATTTTAGTACAACTTCTCAGGATTTTCCTCCATGTGTGATTTGCTCATGGGTTGTCTGCTGTAGTTTGGGGGTGATGGGAAGACCGTGGAAGTTAATGAGTGATGGGGCAAAGTAGGCGTGATATTTCACTAATGCGACCTTAGCTTGTCCTCTCACCTCCTTGGTCCTCAGTTTGTGAAATGAAGCAGTGGAAACAGAGGATCATTTATGTTTCTCCCTACTTAAATAGATACGATTGTTTAATATAATGTATCTTTAACGGAGTCATTTCAAGGCCTCTGAAATCCATGTCAGCTTTTATTATATGCATCTAATGCCCCAAATTAAAAATAGACTGCCGCTATCTAGATGAATCATTCTGTGGGGATGGTAATATTTTCCTCTAAGTATTCACATGCATTTGCTGTGGGGAGAGGTCTCTCTTTTGGCAGAAGAGGCAGGAAAAGTAATCAGTCTGTCAAAGGAGACCATTTCTGCAAGCCGTGGTTCTGCGTTCCCACCTGTCCTCTGGCATTGTGATCCCCACTGTCGTTTGCAGGGTACATGCAGCAGGATCTTGAAGCTTACCAGGAACGCTGTTGAGCCCTTGCACCAGCTGTCGAGTTTGACATTCTAATGCATTATATGGATGGGTTGAGGAAATCTTGCCGCCTCCTCATGTTACAGGCTGCACTTGCAGAAATAAATCCATTCCTCTTGACAGTCAGTGCAGGAGATGACAGAACTTCTCTTCATCATTAGTTCATTCAGATTCCGTTAATAGCTTAAGATGTCTCCATTCCATACAATCATAGTAGTTTTAATTACGTGCTGTAGAAGAAGTTCCATTTAGAAACCATCGTAGATCTCGAAATGTTTTCATTAACAGTTCTTTTTTTCTTAAGGAATTTTGAGTGAATCATTTGGAGTTAATATAGTGTAAATTATATATGGCTCACTGGTTTGCGTTTGTGTGGGTTTTTTGGTTTGTTTTTAATTTGATAGGTACTTGGGCACCCTTGTTAAGGCTCCCTTCCCTCACTCGTAAGGTGGTGTCCCATTATGGTGTGTGGCTTTCTGCTAAGAGATAAACTAGCTTTGGATATTACGCTTACAATACTTACAGAATCTTGAATGAGGACACTTTATAATCATCAAGATTATGCATTGACTGCTATAGACTGACTAAGTGTAAAACACAGAAATGCATTTAAAATGTGGCATGTTTTTGTATCCACGTCCTGGCCAGTTGAGATAATGCTGTCACTCATGCAAGTTTTTATAAACGAGGAAAGGCCCTTCTGCCTGCCCTTAAGCTTCCAGTCATCCTCCAGTGAGGTGGCTTGCATTTTCGTTGGGAACATAGCACCATCTTTTTCTATGTGGGCAGAGTCTGCCCTTTTGCTTCCTTGCCCACTGGTACCTCTGGGTAAATTTGACTTGGACTTTGTGAGCATCTCAGCCAGCTGAGCAGAATGACGTATATTCCTTTTTCTTTTGGGTCACTTTAGTTGGAAATGTGAGCCAGCTGATAACACAGGTGATTTTAAGTCTTTGCTGGGTGTTAACCCAAATTTCTCCATTCAAATTAATTGACTAGGCAACTTAAAAGCATTGCTTTATTTTAAAGTCTCATTAGAGCAATGAGATAATCCTAATAATGAAAGAATTTTGTAAAAAAAAAAAAAGGACTGCTTTAAAACTCTGTGTGTGTATGTGTTTTAATGGGATACTTGGACAAAATTTAGAAATACTAATTTATGCTTAAGGTCTACTGTTCTTTTGTAGTTACATTGTAATATTTGTAATGTTTTTGCACATTGGCTACTTAAAGAAGTAGTTTAATTCTCTTGTATTCCATAAGGGTCACTATACAAAAACATTGGCCTCTTATTATCATAAAACCAAATAATGTTTCAGTGTCTCTGCTTTAAAGACATTCTTTAAAGGAAATTTTATCTTATAGCAAGCACAGTTTTCCATTTTAACAAAGAATGTTGACTTATCAAAAATATTACATTTTTTAAATGTAAAATATATAATTTTCCTTACGTGACTGTATTATGGAATTATATATAAGAAACATTTATATATCTATCAAATATTTGCAAATTTGATGTTTTTTTTGCATGCAGTACAGAGAGATGTGATACCACTGCCATGTTAAAACTATTTGCTCACTAATAAGAGAAACTCAGTTTCTCTGTCCTGCTTATTCACTCCCTCCCCCCCCTTGGTAGCCAGTAATTACTATCAGATCATTTGGTTCTTATACATTTGCCTATTTCATGTCAGTGGCACCATACAAAAAGAACATTAATTATTTCTAATATACTTAGGTGTATCCTGTGTTTTATGTTCATTATTTCATTTACTCATGTCACGAAGTTCATGAAGTTGGTACTGTTATTATTCCTAAGATTTCACTGTCACTCGGAGAAATGTTGCTGGTTCTAGAAACTCTCCCAGTCTCTACTTGTGATGCTGATGTGATGGACTCTGACATTCATTGGGAGAAATTTCGTAGTGGGGTATGCTTGTGTACAGATTTCTCAATGCAAAATCAAAAACTTAACTGTAATTTCATTTACAGAACTATGGAGATGGGACTCCTTATGATCACATGACCAGCAGGGACCTTGGGTCACATGACAATCTCTCTCCACCCTTTGTCAATTCCAGAATACAAAGTAAGATTGCTTTTAAATTAATTAATGTACCACTTTGAATGCTTATATTTTGCCTGGGGGGATAGGGAGGGGAAATCCATGTTCTAGCCAGAGGTTCTGGTCTTAAGCTGTTGATTTTTTTTTTTTTTTGATGCTTCAATACTGTATTGCTTAACTATTGAAGAATATTGAAAGCACTTGCATGGTAAGAGCACACAAAGGGTTTAAGTTTTACAACTGGGTGGAATGAAACGAAGGATACTCAATCTACATGGAAATTCTATCTTAAACATAAACTATACCAATTGCAGCAATTTTAAGTGGGGTTTCTCTAAGTTTCATGTAAAGTCAATTGGGTGAATACAAGGAAATTCCCATTTTAGTCTTGTCAGGTGGCAATGATGTGCAGTCAGTGTCAGCACTGAGTTTTTATTGAAAGGTTGTGGAAATACATGGTATTTTAATATGCTCAGATATAAATTGTGTGTTGATGTTGAATTGTAAAACGTCATTGTATGTTTATTAAGGCGTTAAGTTTTGTGCTAATGATTTGGGCAGGTACTGCTTTTCCTCACTGAAAGCAGGGGCCATGGAGTTCGAGACAGGGAGTGACTCTGCGGAGCACCCTCGGTACCTGTAGCGTAGTTTTCTGCTTCTAATTCCTCTATAAGGGTCTTGGCTTAACAGCAGGAGCCTGGATAGCGATACGCTAATTCATAATGATTTAAAAGGTCCCAATAGCTGGCTACTCTATTTGGAGTTTTGGGGGAGAATCTTCATTCTACTAATCGTGACTTTTTAACAGTATTAGGAAATCTCTCAACCTGGCCCAGTTCTGTTGCAAATCTGTCAGTAATACAAGTTTAATTTCTTGGCACAAGCTGTTGGACTCCAAGGATAACGTGCAGCCATAATGATATCATCCTGAAACCATCATTTCTGAAAGAATGGCCTGATTTTTTTTTCAGGCGTGAAAGCTATACTAGTGATTTAAAATGTTACTAGCCTTTGAAATTCCGTCTCTCCCTTTTCTACCCCGTTGTATTGTAACTGTGTTCCTTCAAGTCTGAACCGACCGCTAGCTGGCTCTCCGGCAGGTTTGTGACGGCAGCAAATTGCACGAGTGGAGATTGCCCATCTTTTCCCCCCACAGAGCAGCTGGTGAATTTGAACGGTGTACCTTTGTGTTGGGAGCACAACTCTTTACCACTCAGCCATCAGATCTCCATGTTAGTAACTGTCAAATCCATGTGAGTTAATTTAATGTACTTAACACCAAATAGTCAAAGCAGGAAAAATTTACAGTTTAGTCTTAAATGCAGAACACCATGTGATGGTACCTTTTAGTGCCATGCCGACTTTCAGAACCAAGAAGGTGTGTTTGATCATAGATGGTTCTTTTAACTGTACTCTTTTGTACCTTAAAATGCTAAATTATGGAGTTTTGTTTTAACCTCTTCTTTGTCAGTGAGTCAGTGCAGACTCAGAGTAACCCTGTAGGACAGAATATTACTGCCCCTTCAGTTCCCAAGGCTGCGTACACCCATAGAAGCAGGCTGTCTCGTCTCTACATAGCTAGGAGTCTTTACGATGTAATGTTTTAAGTAAAACAAGAGTCTCACTTTCTCTCAGTTGTTTAAAGGGTAGTACAGTAACTTTTCAGCTCTTGGGGTGGACAAATAGAGATTTTCAAAAACAAATTTTAGATGTTTCCGTAATTTATCCCAGCACCGTTCTAACTACATAAAATAGAGTATATTTTGAAATGAATGATCTTGAGAAGTTGGTATAAGGGGTATATTGAAGAACCGGAGAGATTCTGGCCCTATTCTCTGATGACCTGAAGTCAGTAAAAAGAGAATTCATAAATTAGTTACTACATGGGAAGGTAAGTATTCTACAAAAGGGCACCTGGTAGATGAACACTACAGACTATCTCTGGCAATTTTGAGTAGTTGTTTTTATACATGCTTCCTCATGGACAAATGTTTTACAAAGCAAATAACTTTTTCAATTCAAATAGTATTTAAAATAGAAGTGGGCTGAGAGTTCAGCATGCCGAGAGCTGACTCCTTTCACTGTTGTTGTTTAAGCTGCAAATCCATGTCAGCCCAGCTCTTTTATCCCGTCTGCCCTCCTTCCCATTAAACTCTTAAATATGGAGACCAAGACAGTCCCCTGCATTGTGATAGGAAATGCTACTATGCCCATGAAGCTCCCACCCACTGTTCCCCATGAAAGGCCTTCTCTGTTAGATAAGCTGTCTGGTCTGAAACATGGCTCTTTATTGTTTACAAACTGCTACATTTTCCACCTCAAGCAGATTTTTGCACAGAAAAGAATTGTGCTCGGGCTAAATGGTTTATCTGACATTAACGGGGCAGTGTCAGCCTGGGGTCACCGAAGTCGCCCTCGGAGTGCGAGGCCATGGCGTTGTGTACAAAAAAGGCCAGAGAGAGAAAAAGACGTTTCAACAACTCTGAAATACCTGACATTCTTACTGGAGAGAAGAAATTTTTTAAAAATCTTTTTCAACAAGTGACAAGGGTGCCCCATTAGAAAGCCTCCCCCGCCCCTTGCTAATTTCTCACATCGCAGCCGGCTTTGGGGTTGACTTGACTTGTTAGGGAAAGATCTGGAAACAAAGATTCCCATTGATCTGCCCAGGCTGCTACTCATGGCTGATGAAGCCATTTTAAGTTAAGCCACGTTGGTGTTCGGTTGCGTCTTCACAAAGAGAAAATAGACCGTTTTCTCAATATTAAGGGGAAAACTCGTTCTACAAAGGGAGACAAAGGCAAAATAAAATCCACGCGTGTAGCCAGCATTTGGAACTCACAATATAGACGAGACTCTCTAAACTATCTTCTGTGTCCAAACCCATATTCTGTGTTAACGGCCTTTGTGGAAGTTTTCCAACTCAGCCAAAAAGAAGGTATTAGACTTTAATGTAAGTTTTTGACAACAGTCCAATATCCACTTTCAGAGCCCTGGACTGGTTCTCATTAAAACTACAAAGGATTTCTTTACATTTCAAAGACTTTTTCTGCCCTGATGTCATATTAAAGTAAAAGCTGTAGCATCAGAAATAAATCAGCCACTTTATTGGGCCAGATTCTCTATTGTCAGATCAGGGAAGCCTGTGACTGAATTAGGCGTCTGCCACAGAAATAAGTGACACTAATTTTACAGGAAAGAGCTATTAACTGCAGATGACCTGGTTTCGTTTGGACCCCCCCCTTCCTTTTTTTTTTTTTTAAATGAACTGGTGGTCACCCTGATTTTATTTCATGGAAAGTAAAAAAAAAAGTACTGAAGGACTTAAGGGAGTAAGTTATTGTGTATTTTGTTCTTCACAGCAGGGTACTATTTTGGGCAAATGATCCAGGCTTTAGCTGGCATGTTCCTTCATTTACACTTTGTCATAGTAACAGATTCTTTACTATAACTCTGAACTTTCATAGTTCATGTGACTTCTATTGCATACAGTTTATTCCACTTTTCTGCATTTCATGACTAGAGTCATGTATTGTACTTCTGTTTCATATTTATGCAAAATTGGGTGCAATTTGTGAGAGAAAGGGTCTTCATAAATTATTTTTATTAGAAAAAATATGTATTAGCTTGTGAATCCCTCAATTAAAAATAGATGAGAGAACACACAGACTTGTGTATGTGTGTATATAAGACACGTACACACTCATATATTGCTGGAAGAATTAATAGCACTTTTGGTCTAGAAGGAAATTGTTCCATTACCATCTGGAGTTATCATTACCATATAGAATTTTGGAAGCTGATCCTGTATGAACCCTTTTGGAAAAAAGCTTAGTTTTGTAAAAAAATACCTCAAAAATACTTTTCTTTCTATTGTTTAGCTGTAAACAGCAGAGATGAGGGAGACAGAAATGAAAAATATGAAAATATTTAAGATAAATAAAAGAGCCATCTCCTCACCCTTTGTTTCATCCTAAGTAGGTGATTTCTTTTCTTTGGTGTAGCGTGTCCTGGAGGAGTTGTTGTTGTTGCATGCCGTCAAGTCACCTGCAACTCGTAGTGACCCTATGTACAGGAGGAGTTGAGAGGTTCAAAATCTGAGTCATCCAAAGGACCATCAGAACTGACCAGTGTCCAGTGTTCTCTGCCTTGGCAGTTCCTTAGCGTTGACCTCGCCTTTGCATTGTCCCTTGGTTGGAATTTCATGTTAGGTTTTGAACTTGGAGAAAACAAGTTATTTCTTCCTTGTGACTGACTACCTGTGATTATCAGTGATAATACACACTTAGTGTGCTGAAAATTGGTGATCTCTGCCCATGTTAACAGTTTGAAGAAACCTTGATAGATGATCATTGAACAGCTTTCAAGATATGCCAAGAGGACAGAGAAGCGATGTGTCATAGGACAGTCGTCTATATGTTATGGGCCATTGTGAACATTCTGGCAACAGGTATATGCAAAAAAGTGGGAATTATTTTTTTTAAGCCTTCCTTTTTTTTTTTTTAATTTGCCAAGTATTAAACTTCTGCAAATAATTGTCTAAATATTTTTCCCCATGGTTGATGATCTGTTTTCTGGCTGAAACGCTTCGATCAGAAGAAGGCTCGAAGCATGCGTTATTCTTTTGCCGTTCCAGAGTCTTAACTGACAACCAGATTGAGGATTAGTGAGCAGGGTACCCAGTAAGATGACATACATGGGTTGGTAACTGAAGGATGTGAAAATTGATACTTCTGTGCAGTTGGATGCAACTTAGTTCAGTGTTGGCTGCTGTGTTTTTACATGTCCCATTGAGAAGGGTTCCGTTTCCTTCCTGGGGTGTTTTTCCTTCTAGCTCAACTAATGGGACTTTACCAGGGCGCTGAATAACTCACCACACTGTACAGTAACTGGTTTCTGAAGTGGCTCGGTGGACCATTTTACTGCAGGATCCGACTGGGGCTGCAGACTGAACTGAAGAAAGCTGTTGGCTTAGAGGATGACCTTTGAAGCTCATCTGTGTTAGTGGGTGATATTTTGATTTG